AAACCAATGTGTTAGAACAGAAAGACAACTGTTCCGATTCCATTCTCTCTGTCCTCTCAGGTTTTTTTTTCATTAGGGATTTTGTATGTATGTGTGTGTGTGTGTGTATGTGTTTTATGTATATATTCATGTGGACATGTGCATGGGCACATGTGTGTCTTCATAAGTGGAGGTCAGAGGTTGATGTCAGATGTCTTCCTCTATCATTCTCTACTTTATTATTAGTTTTTGAGAGCGTGTCTCCTACCTAACCTGGACCTCACCGATTGGCTATACTGGCTAGCCAGTGAGCTCCAAGTATTTGCCCATCTCTCTCTCCCACCCCAGTACTGGTGTTACAGACATGATGTCACCATGTCCAGCTTTTATGTGGGTGCTGGGGATTGAACTCAGGTTTTCATGCTTGCACAGCAAAGTGCTTTATCCACTTAGCCATCTCCTCAATTCCATTTGTGTTTTGCTATCACCAGAGGTAGCATGGAACTCCTCAGAAATTTCAGCCCATTGTGGATACTATATGAGAACCCATTACTGTAGGGGTCACTTGGTTGGCAGGAAGCCTAGGGTAATACCAAGTGAGGTGGCTAACCTTGCCTTACTCCCATGGGGCACTTGTCTTACTTGCTCCTTCCTTCAGCGCCTTTCCTGTCTCATTGTCAGTCCTGAAATAGATTTCCTCCCTGAATCTCTGGTGAGATTTATTTACAAAGTTATTCCCCGGGTCTGGCCTTTATCAGAATTATTTAGCTGGCAAAATGGCGTCTGCCCCCTTGGCAGTGCTACCTGACCTTTTGCTCAGGAAAATTCCAGAGATTTAAAGACTTATAAGGCTTAATGTAGTACCTATTCCATGGGGATTCACACCTTTGACAATTCTGTGCTTAGGCGTCCCTTCAATTTTGTAAGTAGCATGTCACCATCCTAGAAAACTAGTTAGAGATTGTTTTGTAATTTAAAGAAGGGAGACAGCACCTATAATATCATTATTCAAAAACCAAGTATAAAACCAGGACGTTATTCCAACTGTCTTTGTATATGTTTTACCAATCTGAGTTCATGTACTGTATTAAACCTTATTTATAATTATTATTACTACTACAGTGTCTTCCTTGAGCTTGAAATTTTATTACATTTTATTTATCTATTTTGTGTATGAATGTGTGTGAGCTGGAGGCATGTATGGTCAGAGTGGCATGCATAGAGGTCAGAGAACATCCTACAAAAGTCAGTTTTCTCCCTTCACCATGTAGGTCTCGGGGATTGAACTCAGGCCAACATGTTTGGAGGCAAGCACCTTTATGCACTGAGCCATCTCATTGGCCTCAAATATGAAATTCTGTATGATCATTCTTAGTAAACCACCTTTTGGCTATGTCGTATAGGTCAGTCAAGCAATATATCTAATATTTTAAAATTTATCTTTGGTTTCTCTTTTTTAATCCCTGATGTCTTTTAATGGAAGATTTCCATATTTTGTAAGAGAAAATTGACATATTAATTTACATTGCACAATCTCAAATTAGACTTTGATTCAAACTTCCACTCACTAGCATTATGACTATGCAAATACCCATTTCTTTATCTGCAGTGTAGAAATAATCGCAGGGTGATTGTTGATATCAAGAGAGGTAGTGCATATGATATATCTAGTGAGGAGTACATGTAGATATATGAAAGCTGCTGTTCTGAGGGTTACCTCTAGTTTGAACCCATCCTGGCCTATGTTTGGGGCCAGCCAGGGCTACATAGTTAAACCCTGTCTCCATAAACCAAAACGAAGTAAAAACAAAAACAAAAAGCCAAAACAAAGTCCCTAAAAAAAAAGCAATCTGTTATGTACTGTTACTATTATTACTACTACCAATGCAGCCAAGATTTTAGCCAATGAAAATAATGAAAAATTTCAGTTTTTATTGGCTTACTTCAGGGAATCTTTCTCTTAAAAAAAAAAATTTTGTGCGGGGCGTGGTGGTGCACGCCTTTAATCCCAGCACTTGGGACACAGAGGCAGGCGGATCTCTGTGAGTTCAAGGACAGCCTGGTCTACATAGTGAGTTCCAGGACAGCTGGGGCTACAGGGAGACCCAAAAAAATTTTTTTGTTACTTTATTATATGTGTAAGAGTGTTTTATCTGTATGTATGTGAGGGCACCACACATGTGCAGTGCCTTTAGAGACCAGAAGAAGCTGTCGTATCTCCAGGAAATGGAGTTGTGGATGGTTGATAGCTGCCATGTGGGTGCAGCAACTGCTCTCAACCACTGAGCCATCTCTCCAGCACAGGGCATCTATTTCTAACATTGTGACTATGTTTTCAGGTACCAGTGAAATACTGTGTGATTACCTGATACATTTTTTTTAATTAAAAATAAACTTCTTACTGGCCCAAAAGGCTGCCATAGAAATACTGACTCATGGGCCCGGTGCCCCTTGCCTGGGCTCAGGAATAAATTTGGTCACAGACATCAGAAAAAAAGAGAAAAAATTCCAAGAATTTGTTTAATTTAGCATCCTGAGGGGCAGAGGTTATTTTCAGAAATTTTTACCTTAATATCAGTGATTATATATTACCCTGCAGTTCAAGCATTTTTTCCATGCCCTTGGAATTGTGATGTTAAAAGCTTTATCTCCATGACTTAAGCCATCTTGGCAGATGATTTCATGGCTTGTGTTTTCCAACACCCATGATATATCAGGAAGTGTGTGAGGTACCAGGGCTAGCAGAGAGCACATGGAAGAATATTGTCTTTGCATTCTGGCTTGTAGTTATGTACTGAGAAACAACAGGATCTTTGAGAATTATCTGGGTTGAGCTTCCACTTCAGCCTGTAGAATAAACAGCTCCAACTCTCCACTGTGTATTTGGGATGTTGAACCAAGGAGCTGGAAGGAATAGTACTCAGTAGAGACAATGTAGAGACAAATCATTTGTCATGAACATGGTGGGATTTCCGATGCACTGAACCGTTTTCTTCTAAGATTCTATAAAAAACCTCGATTAGATGTTGTGGAGCCTCTAACTCTTCTTCCTAAATAATTGAGTGCTACGTGATATTTTGCTCTACCCCTGACTCCCCTCTTTGTCCCTCCATTCATTGATTTGACTTTGGTAGGACCTTTATATTGTCTCCCTCCTTCCTCTCTTGTGCCTAGGGAGATCAGTAAGACATAAATACAGGAAGTGTTAACAGTGTAAGGCAGTACATAGAAGCACAGACTTCATTACTGGAATGATCCTTAAAGATCACCTCAGTTAACTGCCCACCTCATCCTATTTCTGCTCTTGCACAGATGAGGGAAACTAAGACCCAGAAAAAAGATGAGAGTTATTCAGATTGGTAAACTGAGCCAATTACAGTGGTTCTAGGCTTAGAATCCAGTTTTGTTAAAGTTTACTTTTTAATACTTCATTCATTATTTTTATTTTATGTGTATGAATGTATTGCCTGCATGTATGTAAGTGTACCCTTATCATGCAATGCCCATGGAGGTCAGAAGATGGTGTCAGATCCCCTGGAACTGGAGTTATGGATGGTTGTTAGCCACCATATGGATACTGGGAACTGAACCCAGGTTCTCTGCAAGAGCAGTCAGTGTTCTTAACCACTGCGCCACCTCTCCAGCTCTAAAGTTTATTTTTATTGTTTCACAATTTTATCTATATATGATGTACATTGATCATATTCTCCATATTCTTACCCTCCTGCATTCTGTCTTGTGTGTGTGTGTGTGCGTGCGTGCACATGCACTTGTGTGTGTGCACATGCCTGCATGCATGTACACTCCATTGCATTTAATAAGGATTGCTTGCATGAGCATAGGTGAGAGGTTATTTACTTGAACAAGGGAAACTTAGCAGTGGCTACATCAGAAGAATATGACTCCTCCTCTCTGAGCACCCGAGCAACTGTTAATTGCCTATGGCTCCTTAGGGAGGGGCGGGGTCTCATAAGCCGCTTCTCTATCCATGATGCAATGGTGATGGGCTCTGTCTTGTACAGGTGTTGATCAAGTAACCATCCGTGCTGTGAGTTCATAGTTACAGTGAGCATGTCATATCCAGAAGACAGTGTTTTATAGTACTACTCCCCGTCCTCAGCTCTTACATTCTTTCTAGCCTCCCTTCTATGATGTTCCCTGAGCCTTTGGTGGGGATAATGGTGACACAGATGTCCTGTTTAGGACTGAGCCCTCAAAATCATTTATTCTCAGCCCTTTGACCAGTTATGAGTCTTTGAATTAACTAAGGTCCACTGCAAAAAGAAGCTTCTATGACTAAGGTTCCGAGAAGAATTAATCTATGGGTATAGACATAAATATTTAGAAGGCAGTTTGACAACATGTCCATTTAGTAAAACAATAGTAGTAGGTTCCCCACCAGGGCCTGTGACCTTCCCAATCACAGTCTTTGACCAGGTTTACAGCACAAGGCATAAATCCCTCCTGTGAAGTGGGCTTCAAGTCCAGTCAGAAAGCAGTTGCTTACTGTTTCATGCCATTCTTGTATCAATGGGCACATTTGGCTGACGGGTTGGTACTGTGGCTTTCAGGGTTCATAGCTGGGAACTCAGTGTTCTTTATTTTGCACTTACCTTGCCTCTGCAATTATCTACTAGTATGGTAGCTATCTAGGCTGTAGATCAAACATGAGAAGAGGATGCCATGAACTGGACCTGGCTGGTATAGTATAGAAATGGGGAACACTTCCCGGAAGAAATAGTCAACACTTTCTTTCTCTTGGTAGTAGGATGATTTTCATTCTTGTTTGCCTCTTGATAAGCATTGTCTGTTGCTGCTTTTGCCTTCAATAACCTGGTTGGGAATAGGATGAGGTTATGACTTGTGTCAGCACTCCACATTTATTCACACCAATTTCTAAGTTGCTCAGTTTCTTGGCATTCTGGTTTCTTTCTTCATAGTTGAACAGAGACACTTGTCCCAGCCTCTTCTTCTGAGCACAAAGTCAAACAACTAATCTGCCTTCTTTGATCTCATTCTAGATCAGTGTGCGTGTGACCACCATGGATGCAGAGCTGGAGTTTGCCATCCAGCCCAATACCACTGGCAAGCAGCTGTTTGACCAGGTAAGAGAGAGACTTGTTGTTCCTTAACCACTTCTGCCAGTAGGTATCACCATAATGCAGATCATCCATGCCTTCTGCCCTTTGCCAGAGAATCTCTTACTGGTTGCTAATCTAAGGAAGCTGAAAACAAAATTGATTCCAGATTTAGTAAAAAAAAGGAGGCAAAGTATAATTTTTGTCAGTCTGAAACTCTATGGGACTAATGAATCCTGTCCTTGATCCTGAATAAGGGAGAAAAGAGAGGAAAAGTATGACTCCGTGCTAGATGTCTGAAAATATGAGCTTATGGAACCTGGAAAATGTTTATGTTTACCTATTTATTTATTTAGAGACAAGTGCTGTAAAAAAATGCCCAGGCTGGCCTCTATGTAGCCCAGTCTGAATTCTAACTCACAGTCCTCCTTCCTCAGCCTCCCAAGTGGTGGGATTACATGCCTCCATGCTTGGCTCCTCTTCATTTTAATGATGAGGTACAGAATTTATTGTTAATAATCTAGTTATACCTAGCCGATATTGCAATAGAATTTGAAATCTACGTCCCTGTCTCTGAACCACATAGTTCACATAGTTTTGTTACTTTTTTTTCTTCTTCTCTGTAGAATGAAACTAACTTGTTCTCCTTGAGATCATGAATTCTGAATGTTCCTTTCAAAGGAATATTAGGACTTAGAAGAATGGAGTACATTATCTCCTACAGACATGCCAAGAAGATAATTTGTTATTCCCCATTTATAACATAATCCTTCCTTTCTCCAGCTCAGAATGTCTCTTTGTTATGAATTATGATTACCTGAAAGGATGAGATATCTAGTAGTCTGCAAGTTACGTACACTTTTGACTTTCAAGGACTCTAAAAGTACCACAGGAACATGCCTTCTACAGCCAGACTTCCATGAACAAAAATAGGGCTCCCATTTCCAGGGTCTATTTTCCCAGTTTCCCAGCCAGCCTCTAGTGGGTGGTGATGTTGGGGCCACTTATCACCTTGATGGATTCTATAGGCTCTTTGTTGCTCTTTCCTTGTTCTCTGGGTCCCTCCACTATATAAGAATACCCTAAGACTGGGGAGAGGAATGAAGAAAGCAGGAGGTCTTGTTCAAATGGACTCATTGTATTCCTGTGAACCCTCTGATGAGAGGAAAGACAAGGGGAGAATGGAGATGGGAGTGGGAGAGAGCTGCTTTCCATTTAGGTCTTCCTTCATGTGAGAAAAAAAGAAACGGCTAGCTAGCTTGGTCATGCCCTCTTAGTACCTGATGTCACATCTAGTGGGAAAAGGATTGTGACTAATATATGTGGGAGTTAGCATTTAACCAAAACTTAGTATATGCCAGTTATTGTGACAAACATTTGACTGTTATGAGACTGTGAGTGCAGAAGTTAGTACTGACCACAATTGGCAGATGACAAAGTCTCTTTAGTTTTCTAACTAGGGTTTGGGAAAATTCTTGAAGCTATCTGGGTTAGTAGTCTCATCTTAAGAAAAAAAAATCTAGAACTGGTAAGATTGCTTAACAGATAAAAGCACTTACCCTCAAGCCTTGATGACTTGAGCTTAGTCCCTGGGTCCCACATAGTTAGGAGAGAAACAACTCCTGCAACTTTTGTCTTCTGACCTCTACACATAGGCTATGGCATATGCATAGACACACATACACACACACAGACACAGGCTATGGCATATGCACACACACACACACACACACACACACACAGACACACAGGCTATGGCATATGCATACACACACACATACACACACACAGACACACAGGCTATGGCATATGCATACACACACAGAGACACACAGGCTATGGCATATGCACACACACACACACACAGACACACAGGCA